GTCCTCCTCGTCCTCGTTGCTCTGGTCGCCGTCGTGCTCGTCGATCTTGTCGATGTCGATGCTCTCCAGGTCGATCTCCTCGTCGTCCTCGGCCTTTTCGGGGTCGCCTTCCGTGTCGCTGCCGAAGAGGGCGCCGTCCTCCGGGTCCTTGCTGCGCGCACCCCAGGTCACCTTGTTCTCCTTCTTGAGGCGCCGGCGCGCGTTGGCGAACCAGGTGGAGACCTGCGTGAGGGTCATCTTGGTGATGATGGCCAGCATGATCTTCTCGCCCTTGGTGGGGTAGGGGTTCTTGCGATGCTCGTTGAGCCAGGCCTTCAGTGTGCTGGTGCTCTCGCGTGTGGCGTTCTTGGGTCGCCCAGGGTCCCCATATTGGAACTGGCCGTAGGGGTAATAGGCCGGCGCCGTGTGGGCCGCGAAGGTGGCCGGGTGCGCCCCGGGGTTATCCTTCAGTTCATATTGCGAGCCCTGAGAGGCCGCGGAGCGCGAGGGAAGGAGGAGGAAGCAAAGAGAGAAAGAGAGCGAGAATGAGTTCGGCAAACTTGGAGAGGGGGGAAGGGGGAGATGCTCCCGCGGGCTCCAGAGCCTCCCTGGCACCCGCTCACCGGACACCCCCAGGCTTCTGCTGGGCCGACACGACCCCAACCCAGAGGACCCCCTAGTACAGGGAGAGGGGCTGTCAGAGCCAAAGTGAGCCCGGGACCGGCTTCCACCCATTGCGGAAATCAGTTCGGTTCACTGTAGAGAAACTTCTAGAAGCAGGCCTTTTGCAAGAAGGCACGGAATCTGTGCTTCTCCACTCCCACGCCATCTCCCTAAGCCCCTGCGACCGCACCGCTAGAGCTCACACGAGCCGATTTCCACGTTTGTCTCAGGATAGTTAGAGGGAAAAACCTCTGGACCGGGCTGAAGACACAGTTTTCCAAACAAGCAGAACCCAGAACGCAGGCACTCCACCCCTTCCGCCCAGAAGGGGGTCAACCAAAATAAACCAGCCTGCTTTCTGAGGATCTAATTCCACCAGCAATTTAAAAGGAACGAATTCTTCCAAATCAATCTGCAAAGAATGGTTTGCCCACACTCCAAGGTCTGTAATGGTGACAGGTAATTTAAAATTTTAATCCTGGCCATCACCACCAATAACAACAAAAACACCGTTTGTTTTTTTAAAATACAAAAGGGCTTATCCGGTAAAATATTAACACCAGGCCTCCAAGCGGCTGGCTGCAAGGGGGGAAACTGGTTCAGTTTCCTGGGCCTCTCTCTTCTCCTTATCTCTTTAAGTTTGACTTTGATCTGGAGAGAGCAAACACAAACTGTTTGCAGGCATTTAGAGGCGATGATTTATTTGCAATCAATATTCTTTTTATCATCAGTAGTAAAACACAGCAAGTCAAATTATCCCATCAGGTTTTTTGGTAAATAACATTTTATCTTTCTAACAACCTCATTAGGCCTCATTATTACCATAAATTGCCCAGACAGACGCTCGCTTACAATTTTATCTTTTGACTTCCAAATACCCAGTCAAGGCTTGGAAACTTAGGCCTAGAATGGAGTTTTGAATTTAGTTTTACTTTCCAAGAATTGGCAGGAGACCTGGGGGAGGGGGGCACAAACAGCTTAGGGAAAAAAAAGTTTTTACATTTTCCCTTCAGTTAAAAATATTTTTCAATATAGCCTTAGAATATTTTTTTTAAAGATCACCTTCCCCACCTCATCGTGTGCTGATCTCTCTCCCTCCCCCACAAACACAAATTCGGCATTCCAAATGGCTAACATCTGCATTCAAAATTTCTGTGAAAAACCCGTCCTCCACTTAACAAGAATTGTGTTGTTGAGTTCGCAGTGGGGGCTCGGAACTCTGGGAAAGTTGTAAGTGCCCCACGTCCCCGACTGCTTAGTCGGGTGAGGGAGGCCGCACAGAAGTCCCCGTGACCAGAATTCGTTTTTACTTCTCTTTGCAAAACGTACTCGGCGCTTTTCAAATTATTATTAAGATTGTTTTGTTGTTGCGACTGTAAAGAAGACATTCCAGCTTTGTGTCTGCGGGGAATTCCTTTGGAAGGGACTCCTTATCAGTCTCTCCTCTCGGGCATTCCGGGGCCAGAACAAAATGGGAACCGATCTTTCTGGGTAGTCAGTGCCCTGGAAGGCAGCTGAGGCGGGGTTCCAGAGAAACTGGCTTTCTGGCAAAACTAGAAGAAAAAAAAGTGACGGGGACCGGCCTGCCTCTCTCCTCCGGCGGCGCAGTCTGAGAAGCGTCGGGGAGAGGCCCGGCCTCTTCCCGGGCCGCGAGCATTCGGAAGCCCCAGAATGGCGCGCTCCAGCCGGGCGCCCGGGGCTTAGGGGGGCGCTGGCTGCACCCCGGGGCTGCACCCCGTCCCGGCGCCCCCCTTCCCCCGCAATTCACCAACAGCCCGAAGTTCACGCCCCGACATGGCAGTCGGCGCGCGGGAAATGGATGGTTTGGACCGGCGGACAGGCCGGGGCCCGCGCGGAGAAGGAAGTCTGCAGCCCCCGTCCCTCCCTCTGACAGCCGCCGAGGCCGGCACCCGACGGCGGGAGTGTGCAGCCCGGGGACGCAGGTTTCCCCGAATCCACCATGATGCCATCCGGGCAGAGAAGCGCTTCTCTTTCGGGGTCACCGCGAACGAAAACTTGGGCAAGTTACAAAAGTGCAGTTGCGCCGCGTCCCCGACGCCGGTGTCAGCGCCGCGGGACGTTCTGAACCCCAGACCGTCACACGCCCCGTGGAGAGCCCCTCCGCTCCGCCGGGCGTCCACGGCCGGGGCTACTTGCACGGATCCTTCCAGGCTTTAAAGAATCCCCTCCGGCACACTCCGACGCAACTATCCCGATTCTGCCAAAGACAGAAAACCGACTCTTCCAGGCTCCGCTTTGGGGTTTGTGTGGTGGCTGTTTTTTTACAAAAAAAAAAAAAAAGCCGCCGAGGCCAAGCGAGCGGGGCCCGCGGGTCGGAAAGGGGTGGGGGAGCCCTGCTC